TTCACGGTCTGTTGTTCTACGGCGGCGTCCAGTGCCCCTTGCTCTTTGCGTATGGCCTTCTCGAAGCCATGCCTGACAACACCTAACCACAGTGTCTACACTTCTTTGCACTCTAACTGGAATTGCCCGAAAAGAAAGTCCAGCTTCCCGAAATCCCACTATACGGCCCCTATCAAACTCACTAAGTTGACGAAATCGTAAGGTCTCTGTACTCTAGGCATCGTAACCGATCGTAAAGGATGTCAAGAACCAAAATCCGCCCCAACGTTGATTCTTTACTGCGGCTGAAATATTCATTTTTAGAGCGTTAGTGAATTAAAAAAAAGCAGTATAAAAACAGGAACGTCCAACTGATAAGGCTGAAAATTTTTTCACTTGTTATTTACAGTAAGATAAATACATTCACCAACTTTTATTAAAATAAAACCATTTAAACTGGGTGTTTGGATTTATATGTCACTTAGTATATATTATAATAATAATAATAATAATCATAATAATTTGTTGGTGTGCTTACACACAAGTCAATATATTCTGATAGAATGCTTAGAAAAAAGTACATCAGATATGAATAAAACCAGTTAAAAACAATGCAATGCTGTGTAACGCATAAATACTAAAAACAACTTAAAAAAACAATCCAAAAATGTCGTCATGAGATAAAAGTACATCGTTTGGAAAAATATATAATACAATCAACTATACACATGCAGACAGACAAAACATTAAAAAATGTACACAAGTTGGACAGAGAAATATATAAGTAAACATTTAAGGTATATCAGTAAAGTCATTTGCCAAATATTCGTCCGTGCTAAAGAGGGGGTTTTTAATAAATGATACTTGAGTTTCCTATGAAAAACGTCAATATCCAGTGATTTTATATTGTTGGGTAGCAGATTAAGCAATTTAATGCCATAAAAGTTTGTTCCAACTCTAGACGGTAGTAATTGGAATAAATTTTGTTTCCATTTCATGTTTTATTATTGTGGTTGTCACTACGAGTGGGGAAGGTACTAATGTTACTTTTGATATATAGAAGAAAACCCAAAATATACGCGCATGGAAGGGTTAGTATCTTTAATTTAATGAACTCAGCCTTGCAGGGGTCTATGTATTTCAAACCAGAGATGTATCATATACAACGCCTTTGCATGCCAAACACTTTTAGCATATGTGGAAAGTGACCCCAGACCAAAATTGCATATGTCATTTCAGAGTGGAAATATGCATGATAAGCAGTTAATAATACTTTATCGGAAACTCTACCCTTTAGACTACGTATGAGATATATTTATAACTCTGACAAACGATACACCACACACAGTATGCACCTCTCAATATATACAGGGTGTAAACGTTACGGTAGTCATTATTGAAATGGGTAATAGGGGGGATCAAAACAAGTCAAAAAGTTCATATGACCCATGGCCCAAAAGTCAATAAATTTTTGTCTAAATGATTTTATAGTTTACAACTTTAAGTGCTTTATATCGACCACAATCACCACATTCTTACTAATCTTTATAATCCAATCTAAAACGTTTTTAAATTGGGTAATTAATAAATAAATGGCATTAAGTTTTTCTAGGTTAAGCCAAAATTTGTAATCAGTAAGTAAGTAAGTTTCATTAAATTAAATATTTAAAACACACATGATAACAGCGCGTCGGCAATTCATCACTCTTATCGAACCGGCAATAGATCGCAAACGGTAACAGTGGTTAGTTATTGTTCGCGTACGTCGTCGTGTTTATTCACAATGTACTCGAATCAAGAGTTCGCCGACGTGTTGTTAGTTTACGGTGAAGCTCGTCAAAATTCAAATCTTGCAGCTCAAATTTATCGCGACAGATTTAGCCAACGGGTACACCCAGACACAAGGACATTTGTGCAAGTGTGCCAAAGATTTCAAGATACAAGAAGTGTTCATCCCACTAATATTCGCACTCGTGAAAGACATGTTACTGTAGAGCAGGAGGAACAAATTTTAAATATCGTGGAAATCAATGCAGATATCAGCACTCGGGAACTAGGCCGCCGCGTAGGACTATCGCATACCATATTCCATAGAATCCTACGGGAAAATTTGCTTTATCCCTGCCATGTACAACGAGTGCAGGTCTCCTGACCTCAAACCGATGGATTTCTAGTATTGGGGAGAACTTAAAGAGATGGTTTATGGGGCTGGTCCAATAACAACTGAAGCACAACTTCGCGAAAAAAACTTTAATGCGGCTGAAATAATAAATGGACAAAGTCGAGGACCTAGAGTAAGAAGAAACTGGGTTCGTTGTAATGAAGCTTGTGTGGAAAGTGGAGGACGACACTTTGAACACCTTCTTTAAATACAAAAAAAGTGCAGTGTGGGTTTTAAAAAGAAAAACAATGTATGTATTTTTAAGTGGATTTTTTTAATACGTTCAATAAACTTTCACCAGGTGAAGCGCTGAGACAGTTAGTGGTAAGTCCGTTTTTTTTAATTGTTTGCATTTTACGAGTACATTATCAAATAACGAAATAATACCTAAAAGCCAAAAATAACAAACTCCATCCTTATTTACACTGCGTTCCGTCGTAATTTTCGTCTGGCATTGCGGCGTTGTCAGATTTTATTTTACTTTAAAGTCGCTTTTCTCTAAAAAAAATGCCGTTTTGACCCCCATGTTATATGAAACTTTTTGCTTCTTTTAACAACTTCTATCACCCATCTAAATAATGTCTATCACAACGTTTACAGCCTGTATAGTTAATTTGTACTCTTAGCAAATTCACTGATTGAGCAGATTCCATCTCATGGCTGCGTAAGCTTTGTATTATGGACTGCGTTTTATAATACTCAAGGTCCGACTTGCACAATGAGCTGGTTTCGACAAGGGTGTTTACATATTTATTAGAATTTACCAAAGCAGTATCATCAGCATATAAAAACAAAGCAGCATTGTTCTGACAGGCTATTAGAGATATAGTTAATGTATAATAAAAACAACAGTGGTCCCAGTACGGAACCCTGAGGAATTCCATGGATCACTGATCTGGTATCAGAGTTACATCCATTGAAACGTTCGAGTTGTTCTCTGTCGGATAACTAAAAGTCTAAAATCTTGATCCTAGAAGGATGAATGCAATAATTGTGTACAATTATGGTGTGGATAAAAATGGTAGGCTTTTTTGGAGTAAATCAGTTGACGAATTTGGATAAAGGATGTGACACCGCTTAAACCCTAATTCCAATCCTTCCTCGCTCCTTGAAATGCTTACAATTTCATAACGTCTATCATCATCCTTTTAGAATATCATTACGTGATCCGTATTTTATGAAAAAAGAAGAGGCGTCATCCTGTCATCCGTGGTAATCCCTCTGATTCCACCAATATTATTGGGCTCTTCATAGTGCTCAACGATTTTCGCTGCATCATCCGGAGAACGATGGTGAGGAACGTGAAATACTGCCAGCAGAATAGCGTAGTTCGGTCCCTACGACACGCTTCAGATGACCTAGATTCGTTACTAACTCCAGAAAATAATACATGTCAGATGAACTGAATAGAAATGCTCACATAATGGGGAGGCTCTGGATTTTCCCTAGAACTAATTAAAATTCGGATAATATATGTTATGTGTACACTTCTGCCTGTGAGTTCGGTAAGACGTTTACGGAATAAGGTTCAGAGCAGGGAATGGACATTTTATAAGGACAAGAGAAATAGAGAAAGGAGAAAGATGTAACGGCACTAACTCTCTACGATTAGATGGTCTTTCAGAAAGACGTGCCCAATATTTCTATGATAGGAAGAACGTTCAAAAATATAACAAAGAGAATCCTATAAATATCGGTCCAAGGATGCTCCTCTACCGAGATAAAGGGTGATGACGTTCTCTTTATGAAATCTAAAAAAATATATCTACGCAGCGGGTAAAGATATTGAGTTAAGATCTTAGACGATTAGTGAGTACTTCATCAGCAATACTCTCACAGAGATTCCCAGCCCAAACTAAACCAAGGAGGTTGAAACGGGTACCTGAACACGTAATAGGAAATATGTTCTACACCATTGGCCTTTTCCAAAAATTTCATAAATAACCATTCAATTTTCTATAAATTCTTTCTCTTAAGAAATTTTTGTCAGATCACCCGTATTGTAGATATTTAGGTTTGAATATTTGAGGTAAAATACTAAAATATTCTTATGAAAAGGATTAGCCTCCCCTATTCTGAAAACACCGTGAAGCTTGATATTGGAGACACTGTATGGCATGTGAACAAAGTAGCTTAGAAGCTTACCATTCATTAAACCTTGACTATGCACGCTACTGGTTTCCGTGGTATACTTCTCCTGGTATTACCCATGTTATACTCTTATGTTTGTCTAGAATAACAACTAGTAATTGTGGAATCAATCAATTTGAGTAAGATTTTTATTATTTTACTTCTGAAATTATCGACATTTTTTCCTCAAATCTCTTTAGCATTTCGGATTAAGTGAGCTCAACAAAGAAGCTATCACAAATTGGTAGCACACCTCCTTTAGGTAGGATGTTATAGCATTTATTCAGCACTACTTTTTGTTTCCAATGTTGTCCTCATAAATTTAGAAATAAACACGGTAGTTGTATCAATTTTTTTTATTGTTGTCGTGATTAATTCCTTCTTCATTTATTTTTGAAATAGCTTTCCCTTTATTTTGAAGTTTATTTATCTATAAACAAAAATAAATATGCCGGTAAAACCAGTGGCGTGGACAGGAAAACTTTAATGAATGGTAAGATTCTACACTACTGAATAAAGATAAGATACACATTATACTCGCATTTCCTTCTTCGGATGATAACCACGTAGTATTCCAACTCATACGATATCGACCACAAGTTTAAAGCAAATTCGCCTGCTTCCTATCTCTACCATGATGTACGTCATCCGTACCCATCTGTCAACGTGACTTTCATAATTTGTGGGATAAGACCCACAAGTACAATTTCAAAATTAATAAATATCTTAGCAATCTTTGGATATGCCGAAAGGATATCGTCGGTATTCGTCTCCAGGGACATCCTCTGAGAGCGAGGAAGAAGTTGTGGTTTTACGTCGTCGATTGAAGCGATTAGAGAAAAAAATTAAGTGCTCTCCCCTCGATGGGGGCAAAAATAGGGCAAAGCAACAGAGAGTTGAGGAAATCCCATCTACAGATGAAACTTAATCGGAATCGCCTCACACAACTCAAGAGCCTGTGGAATCTGTGTTTTTGGAAGATACAGGTATATCTATAAGTATAAAATAACTCTGACTTAGGATAATTTTATTAATCAAGAAACCAAAGGATATTGAACCTGGTACTTTAATGTATAGTACAGTGAGGACTTATTCCATTCAACTAAGCTCGGTAGTGGGCTAGGAATGTTAAGCTCGGTGGTGGGCTATGGACAACAAGCTCGATGGTGTGCTATGTAGAACGGGCTCGATGGTGGGCTATAGACAAGAAGCTCGGTGGTGTGCTATATTGTTATGAGAATCTCGGTGGTGGGCTATATATGAACAGCTCGATGGTGAGCTATATACAAGAAGCTCGGTGGTGAGCTATTCTCAGCAAGCTCGATGGTGGGCCATGGTTGGCAAGCTATTAATATTGTGCACTGTGGTGAGTTAAAATGTTCAAGCAACCTTGATCATAGATCAAAAAATTTGACAGACAGCTTAGAAATGTTATGGAATAAGTGATAAATTCCCTATTCTTATTGACTATACATATATTTCCTGGAAGTATCAACATACCTCTTGTTATTTACTATGAATTTCAGTTTGGTAGGATCTATAGCTAACCCCTTGGGGTGGAGGACCCCTTACCACAACACTTTGTAACTATGATTGGTCAGCAGACTCTGCAGGCAAGTGTTTCAACAGAATCATTTCATTAGAAAGTTGCCGAAGTTTGGGAAACTATCCTAATAAAGGGATCGGATCCTTTCATCTGCTTGAAACTTATCTAAAAATACGCTCCACAGTTCAATAGCTCCTTATAACAGCAGGGGAATCTGGTATCAAGAGGGATGAGATGCTTTCAATAATGCAATCTCAGATTGGAGCTAGTCTTGCAGCTCTAGGTAAGGCTATAACTCTTTTACTTGCAGAAGAAAATAAGAAGAGGGTAACAACCCTCAAATTGATTGAGCTGATCAGTGATCCAGAAAGAATCCTATCAGATCTGCACAAACAAAAGACGGAGGCAAGAAGGAACCACCTGTCCCTTAACTTCGATAAAGACTTGAAAAGTACATTAATAGAATTACCCACAGATCCATGGCTCTTCGGAGAAAATTTGGGTGAGCGTATCAAATCAGCCAAAGCAGTTGAAAGTTCAGGGATGGACCTGAAAAGAAATCTGCACCTAGGAGAGCGTTTGTCTCCAATCATTTAAACTGGAACCCAAGCATATTTGGGAGCCGAAATATTACGATCGGAAACAGTCGCTGACATTATATCAGAAAAAGAATCAGGAGCATACGACCCGGTTCAAGAAGAGGGAACACATGAAATGAGTGAGGTGAAGATTGTAGCAGGCAATTTAGCATCACACTATAATAATTGGTGTCAACTTACCTCTGATAAAATGATCCTGGCCTGGATCCAAGGCTATAGAATAACATTTAATAGATGTGTTACTCAACACCAAATGCCTTGTCATAAAAACAATTGGGATAGTGGTGAGTTAAGTGCAATACAGCTGGAGATCAATCACTTACTAGCTATAGGGGCTACCAAGAGGTGTACACCTCAAAGAGATCAATTCATCTCCAGTATTCTCTTAGGTTCCAAAGGAAAATTGTGGCCATAGAATTAGTGCTTAACTTGAAAAAGCTGAATAAGTTCATAGATTCAAATCACTTCAAAATGGAGAATTTTAGATCAGTGTCAAAGTTGATATCTGGAGGTTGTTACATGGCAACTATTGATCTGAAGGTAGCTTACTTTCTTGTTAATATTGATGAAGTATCTAGAAAATCTCTTAGACTTCTCTTTCTAGGGAAGCTTCATGAGTTTTGTGTAATGCCTTTTTAACTGTGTACTGCCCCTTTTATTTTTACTAAAATCATGAAGCCTGTAATACGAGTATCTAAGTTAAGATCTCAGGGTCTCATCTCAGCTGTCTATTTAGATCACTTTATATTATTTGGCAAAACATACCAGGATTGTTTGAATAATGTCAATCTTACTTTGTATCTTCTCAGAAAATTGGGTTTTGCCAGAAATAGAGAAAAAATTATTCTGCAACCTGCTCAGGAATGTGAATTTTTAGGCTTTAGGTTTAATTCAAAGCACCCATATATGACTATTCCTGATAGCAAAAAATTTAGCATATGCTTGACATTGCAAGTACTATATACTGAACCAGAATGCAAAATTGGATGTTTTGCTCGTGTAGTAAGACTTTCAGCTTCTATTTGTCCAGCTCTCAAGCATCGCTGGGTTTAAATTAAAAGTTTTTTTAGCAGGCAAACTCAGCTGCATTAAAGGTAGCTGGGGGTAATTATAACGCAAGAATGGTGATCCTAAGCTATTTGTTCTCTGACATCAACAGGTGGATGGAAAATCTTCCCAAGTGTAGGATAGATTTAAGGAAGATATCTCGTGATATGGCTATTTATTCAGATACTTCCCTGTCGGGATGGAGTGCAGTTTGTGATAATAATAAATATATGGTCACTGGACAGAGCCTGAGAAATGTTTCCATATAAATTTTCTAGAATTGGAGGCGGTTTACTTTGAATTGAAATGTTTTGCTAAAAAGAAATAATATTAATATCCATTTAAGGGTTGACAATACGATAGCCATAACCTATGTCAATAAAAAGGGAGGTACGCGTTATCCCAAATTAAATGAGCTAGCTAGGGAAATTTGGAAATTCTGTGAAAAACGAAACATTTATATTTTGCATCCTACACTAAATCCAAGGCTAATGCTGAAGCTGATTATTTGTCAAGATAAATAGCTCCCGAAACTGAATGGGATCTGGCCAGTTGTGCATATCATGAAATTATTAAAAATTTGGTGAGCCGGACATAGACTTGTTTGCATCAAGGTTGAACGCAAAATGCAAGACTTTTGTGTCATGGCAGCAGGATCCTGATGCCTTTGCAATAGGCGCTTTCACCCTTTTCTTGGGCTAAATACTCCTTTTGTGCATTTTTTCCATCTAGTATGATATTACCAGTATTGCAAAAATTTTATAGTGAGGATGCTAGTGGTATTGTTATGGTATCATTGTGGACCACTTAACCCTTATATCCCCTATTTTTACAATTATTGAGTGCATTTTCCACCTAATAAGAATCTGTTATCTTCGTTTGACAGACTACATCACCCTATGTACAACAAGATCATGCTGCTGGCAGGAATTGTATCTGCCAAGCCCTTAACACACACATTTATCATCATCATTAGCTAACATAATGATTGCTTCAATAACCACATCTACGCTGAAGCAGTACGAGGGCGGATTAAAACGCTGGTGGAATTTCTGCTATCTTCAGGGTATGAATCCATATCGGGACAATATTTTGATAATACTAGAATTTCTTGAAAATGAGTATGTAAGAGGTATGACCTATGGTACCTCAAATAGCTATAGGTCAGCTTTAGCATTGGCAATATCACCGGAACTAGCCTCTGACTCTAGAGTTAAGATATTTTTAAAGCGATATATAAACTACATCCACCATCCCCTAGATATGAGTCAATCTGGAATCCCGCTGTTGTTTTAAACTATCTGAACACTCTTTTTCCAAATGAACCAAATACCTTATAAAAATTATGATACAAAACTGTGACGATATTAGCTTTGATCACAGCACATAAACTACAGACCTTATCAGTCATCGGTATTGATAATATCATCAAAACAATAATGGGCTTGAAATACATATTTCTAGTAGCATAGAAAACGTCTTCCAAAAATCGGTTACAACCTTGTCTTTATGTTCCCTACTTCCCTGAGGAGAGAAGTATCTGTGCCGCCAATACTCTTGAGCCTTATATAGAGAGGACATAAGCTCACAGGAAGAAACAGCATTCAAAGTTATTTTTTACTTACAAATGTAGACGGATAAAACAAACTCTAAGGGAGAGTGGTATAGACACTTCACTTTTCAGCGCACATATGCTATGTGCGTTCACGTCGGCAGCAAGCCAAAAAGAGCTAAATTTAGATGTCATAAGAAAGACAACAGGCTGGACAAAGGATTCTGAAGGGGAGGCTGAACCTTTTCATAAGAATATTCTCTCCGGAAAAGCTAGTTGCGTAGAAAATGTTGCCTATCAGGGATCCAGGTACCCCAGTTTCTGTGTGTTTATTGCTTATGACCTGCTACCCGAGCATCTAAGGTCTTAACTCAGTATCTTTAGCAGCTCCGTAGATATCTTTTTTTCAGTTATAGAAACTTTTTATTTCTGGATATACCTACTACCATAGAAATAGTGGCACGTCTTTCTGAAAGACCCTGTATAATAAAAACGTGAGAGTTGGGCTTCATGAAATTTTAGTCAGCTATGGATAGTACTAACTGAGAACTCACTGTACGGTGAGAGCACGTATACTTTATTAAGAATGCATGTTCATAGTTGCAGGAACCATATTCTGCTACCTTAAATGTGGATTAATGTCCTGTTAAAAATTTTTAAATGACACCTAACCACAAAAAAAAAAAAACCAGTGCGTCAATAATATCGT